GAGTTTTTTTTTTTTTTTTTTTTTTGTATTTTTACTCTAAAAAAAAAATAGTTTCACCGATGTATCCATTCGCCAAAATATCTTTCGCTGAATTACCTTTTGCCAAGATTTCCTATATCCCATTTTAATCGTGTAACGGCCATGCACTATCTTGAAATATTAGCGGCCATTCAATATAGTTCATCGCGGAGGCCATAATATAAACCACTCCGATCCAATTTATTTTCAAATTAAAATTAAATTTTATAATAGACTTCGGAACAAATATTATTATTTTTTACTCCTCTTTTTTTTTTTTTTTTTTTTTTGTAATATTATTCAACGGTGAATTAGCGAATTATTATAATATTCTGTACTTATATAGTCCAAGGAACCGCATGAAAAACCGAAGATAAATAATAATCAGGCCCGGATTAACGTAAAATATGGTGGGTGAGCAGTGGGCGTGCGCCTAAGGCTAGACAATAGCTGGGGCTATTTTCATCCTCTATTAACACGCACTAGCACTGCCAAACTAAATATATTAAAATGTGTTTCAAATAATATCATCATTTTGTATCGTGAATTCATAACATTGAGATCATTTATTCAGTTCACAAATCAGATTTATTAAATCATCGAATCAACGTGTATGTAGTATGATCATGATCGATAAAGTAAAAGTGATGTCCGAATGATTTCGACGGTAAATGTGGGAACATTGAGCGTTACAGCCGTGGTTTAACAATCACGGTTTAAAATAAATACTTAATCAGCCGCAGTATTAGATGAAATCAGGAAGGCCTATACTGATAAGGAATAATATGATGTAATAGCAATCCGCTTGTTCGTCCTGGATACAAATCAACCTGAATATTGAAAAACTCTCTTTCGGTATTTTACGCTAATACTGATATACCACTGTTGTCCGCCGTTAAAAAGAAAAACAACATATTTAATGCTAATCAAATTATAAATATTGTGATAGTAAATTATTTTATTAATCAATTTTATTATGGGATTATATTATATAGATGCGGCCTTACGACGGAATGTTAAAAAAAAAATGCGCCTGAGGCTATTATTCTTGGGTTTATTCCAGCTATGAATTAATAATATATATTATCGTTTTTGATGTTCGCCAAATATATTTCTGTAGATCGAGGGGCGCAATTATTTTTACGGGACACGCTTTCGCACACCCGGCTGTTATAATTTTATGGTTTGTCGGACGGTGGTGCGAAATTGTAGAAAATAAATAACAAACGATAATAGTATCGCAAGTATGATACGAGCATGCCGGTAATTTGGCCACGTGTCCCGGTCTCGCGGTAATTGAAATCGGCTTTTGATAATAATAATAATTTTATATAATACAGTTTGGTCGTGTTCACAATGTGAAAAGCGGATTAACCGGCGAGGCTTTTAAATATTCGGGCGTTAAAAAATTATTTTATTATAACCTTTATTATGGTCAACCATGGACCGTTTCCGGTAGGAATTTGGCCGCGTTTCAAAATCCAGTGGTCGAGTTTTTATCATTATTGCAGGCGACGATCGTCCCGAGTTCCCAGCCAGACTTCCGATCGAATGCCGTAGAGTCCATCGTCCGTCGTCAATGTGGTTATCGTAGTCGGTACGATCCGGAAATACTATCTCACTTATCGCTATTATTTCCTCGTGTTTTTCGGTTCTGGTTGACGAAAACCGGCTGATCACGCGGTTCTAATAAGTAAATGTTCGATTGGGACCGTTATGGTCGATCCAAAACAGTTAGGTAACTGCAGGTATACTGTGCGTTCCATTTTCAATATTCAAAAAACCACCTCGAAAAAAAAACATTTTACTGGACTTCTTCGCTGTGAATCACGAATTTAGATAATAATATACAGGTTGGATATCGGCCCATATGATGGCCAAAAAATGATGAGTACGGTAAACTTACTGTGTATACATCAACCGTTAAATTGGCGAATAGGAGTGGAGTTATTTTTATTTTGTCAACGATATTTTGGCGGTGATGCTAACTTGTTAAATAACATTACTTTCTAATATATTATTTAAAAAACAAAATTAATTCGTCAATTTCATTTGAATTTTGGTTTTTGATAATTTATAATGGCAAAAAAGGGAATTTTATTGTTATCCTTCGACAACTTCTTTGGTGTTCCAAAAAATGTATGGGAATCGTTAGGTATATCAAATTAAAAAAAAAAGGTTGATGGGTGTTGATGGGTGTTGTATCACTATTTTTGGAAGGAAGTTGGATGGAGGGATATAATATATAACTATGTTATAGAGTAATTTAAATTATATCTGTATGCAACGATAAACCATTGCTAACTAAAAACAATTCTGAGCACAGTATATTTTTAGTCGTATTTTTGTTCCTTGGTGCCAAGGTAAGACCAGAAATCAACAAGAGTTATACCAACGAATTTCTTTTTTTCTTATTTATTTAAAAAAAAAAAAAAAAACTAATGAATATCAAAAATTGACCTAAATGAACCAACTATAGACCAAAAATTCTACAAGAAAATTCCTGTAGAACTTTTGATTGAAGCAAGATATTTTTAATAAAATTATTAATAATTTGTATTTATATTTCACTCCAATATTTACTGAAAAATAATAACAAGTAACAATTTTTTGGACGCACAGCGCTAGTATCTAATTTAATCAACGCTTTAGGTTTACTAGACACTTTATTTCAACCCCGAAATTCCACCAATACCAAAATACAAAGTATATCTTAAATTAAAAATTAAAAACGGTTAAAAATTACAACAGTAAATTTTGAATTTTTCGTGTGCGTCAAAAATAAATTAACGGCCGTGATAACAATTGTAAAAATCATGTTTATTTGAAGTGTAAATACGCCCTGCAAACTATATTGAAATATCAAAATAGACGTTCCGATATTAGGCACTAATCTAATTGTTCTAATATTATTGTTGTACATTGACAGTAATTTTCACTTACGCAGAAAAGCAAAACAGTTAGGATTTGAAAATAGAAAAATTAATTTTCTGTCGTCGCCACAAGTCGGAATAACGATTTTTATAAAAAATTACTATTTAACAAGATACGTGATTACTAATGATAATTATATAGAGTACTATGGTGACGGGTGAACGACTGGAATCAAATTTATCAAAAATCTTTGTGCGTATATTATAAACGCAAGTTCGTGATAAACAAAAATCACACAGTACATAATTAATTTTTGGGGACGTCATTTCCCTCGCGTTCTCAATTATGTATTCAATTCGAAATGAACTCGTTTTAATTTTAATTTTTTTTTTCGTAAATGGCCTATGAACTCGTTGAAATTTCGATCCAGCTCGTAACGATTTTGCTTTGTTCATTGTGATGACCACGAAAATAATAATAATAATTGTTTTCGTAATTAATTCGAGACCAGATGACTCCGCCAGCGCCATTTCTTTACACAAGCCGACCGTTTTAATGGTCTGTGAAAATTAATTATGACAATTTCAGTAAAATTCTGGGTACTAAAAGAAAATGAACGAACGGCCAGACGAATGAATTCGATTTTTCAATGAACGTTCCGCGAACTGCGATCCGTTTGTTACTTTGTTTTCACTTATCTAACGTCAAGATGACGCAGTGTTATTTTCATTTTTAATAAATGTTTAAACGTTTTTATGTTTGAAATTAACGCCACTTATATAGCCGTTCGAGCAACATAGAAAACATTTGTCCGTTTTATGACTTTAATTATTATATTTAGTAAAAAAAATCAACAAAAAACAAAATGAAACGGAAAATAAAATAAAAACATCAATATTGTTATGCTATATTATCATTAATCACGTTGTTAGTTTGATAAGTTTTACGATTGTTATTACCAATAACACGTTACACTCATAGTGTTTTAGATTTTACAATATTATAAACGTTAGGAACTACAGAGGTGCAACGCTTTCGTCGCACTGTGTTTTTGGGGTATCGTAAAACTGTACTATACTCTCCCGCAGTATTCGAGGTTTATTCAACAGCAGTGACGTCACGAACATTGAACATGAACGATGATGTACAACGTATTATATTTTAGTGCTCAACCCTACATAAAATACCCAACCCTCTTGCTTTGCTGTTATTTACTCGGACAAATGTCCTCGAGTCAATCGACGAAAAACAAATAGAAACCTATATTTATAAACTCCTGGTCTCGATGTCAGTTTGATTTCTAGCCCTCATTATACACACCGCGCACCTTCACTTGTATAAAAAAAACTGGACGCCAATGGCCCGGTCTTAATTTGATGTTTAGGTAATGAAGAAAACGAATGGAAAATCCTTCATTCATGTATCTACTAATACTCGATAGTCTATTAAGTAGTGTCAAATAATTTATATCGAATTTATGTTAGTATTAATGATTAATAAATACCGAACATTATACTGTTAACGTTCTTGTTACAGACCTAAATTCAACCATCCAACCTGCAATTCCAACCATAAAGTTAAAGTGCATTGGAAATCCTTTCGCCACGCCACTGTTCACTATTCAATGGGTTAGGATTCATGATCACTATCGGGATTTAATAAGTAGCCGTTATTGACATTGGCGTATTGCAGGAGTTTCCTGAGGGCTGGATCGGCCCCCATCCTTGGAGACAATATTATGATCCAGATTTTACAAAATATTTATAATTCTTCAATCTTAATTTCGTAGCAAATATTTGTTCCCAATAAATGTTTTATGTCTCAAGTAGAGTTTTGATACATTTTCAGGGGGCCAAAAAAAATGACA